CATTTTTATCATTACATTATGGAAAATAATGACCTTTATCACAATATGCTAATTTTTTTAGAAGGACCTGTATAAGCGTTGTTGACCGCTCTCGTCTCCATTTGCAGAATGTCTACGTAAATATGTGCTTGTTTGTGCGAGGTGTGTTTTTAATATTAGAGGTTTTTTTTTTTCTCGGGCAAGAAAAAAAAGTCTGATAGGAATTTTGTTCACCTCCAATTCCTATGTGTCCAGTTAACTGCTGTTTTGTCTGTCCAAACAGGTCTCACTTGTAAATGAGTCTTCGAGGCTCAATGTGATTTATCTGTTTAAATAAAGGTTGAATGAAAATTATCGGTCTGCAAAATTAGCACTCCTGCCCCTACTGACCCCTTCAGAAGGGATCCATCTGTAAAACAGTAAAACTGATTGGGAGACAGGTCCACCATGGCAAAGTTTCTCCAGGAAGATTTATCTTAAACCTCTGCCTGAAAACTTGGCTCACAGTTGGATTTTTTGACTATACTGTCTCTAGGTCCTGCCATTACTGGAATAGCAGCAACTGCCCGGTCCCAGTTTTGATTATGCTGCTAGTCTGATAGGCTTCTCCACCGACCAGACTGTTGTAACCTCACAGCACTGAATGCAGCCTTCCCAAGATATACACTGGATTTAATCCAGTGGAGTCACGTCTAGTAGGACTTCAAGGGCTGCCGTGCGTGTTGTTCTAATGGAAACTGTGATGCTCAGGCAGACCGTTCATTGCACATATTGGAACATCACTGTAGCCACCCCGACTTGGACCCATCATACTAAAGCAGCATAGGGGCATACTATGACCATGTAGATTCATCTAATAATCTTTAGGGTAGCACTCCATTGACTGCTTGCATATCTATGGCACTGATGTAAGCACTTTGTGGCCTTCTTACACTTTTAATCCACATTACTTTTCCAGTTAAGCCTTTTGTCTAGATAGACATCCAGAAACGTAACTGACTCTGATAATCAAAGTTCTGTTCCCTCCAACTTTGGAGGTGAGTAACCCTTCCTTGACTTATTATGGGTGAAAAGAACCAATTCTGTCATGTTTAGGTTAACAAAAAGTTCCCGTTCCTGGCACCATCTGGATACTCTATTTTGTCCCCTCTGCATTAGGTTACATACCGTACCCAGGCAGAAGCCAGAAGACCAAGTCTACTCTTGCCTTTGTGTACGGAGTCTAGATCTATTCAACTTACTTATTAGGCTGTCAACAACCAAGAGCCAACACAAGGGTGAGATTGCTCCTCCTGTGGACATCCCCGCCTGACACTGATGTTTACCATACAGTCCCCCAGAGGTGAAGATGCTTTCCTTGTCCAAAGCATGTTGTCTCATCCACAGCAAGTGCTCCCTCTATAGCTTCTACTGGTACATTGTCACATGCCCCCTGTATGTCCAAGAAGCAGCCAGGTGTATATTGTCCTTGTGCCAGACTGCATTCCATTCACAAAACAACATCATGTAAGATTGTTTCTGTGGAAAGACCTGCCTGATATGCATACCATTTAGGACTTAAAGATGATAACCAGTGTTTCCCCTAAGTCAGATGCCTTGGCGGGGTGCTCATGTCTTCACAGATTTTTGTCAACGGGGTGTTTGTGTGTTAATGGAGAGACAGACACAATGTCATCTCACATCAGTTGTTGACCTGGGGGGAGGGTTGCATGAGAGAAGTGGAGCACTATGTCAGTAGCTTCTTAGCTAGGGTGTCTGTACTGCATGCTGCTAGCTTAGCACTATGTTAGTGCCAGCAGTTGTTGATGCGGCAAGAGGAAGGTGGCTTGTTGGTGAAAGACAATTTCGGTAGGCAGGGTGCTCAATTCTGTTGACAGGGCAGGGCGCCCTCCTTGGATAATAGTAGGGGAAACACTGATAACATTAAAATGCCATCCCTTACATGTTGATCAACTTCTCCATTCCCTTCAGTAGGAAGGATGTTAAGCAGATGGGTCTGAAAGATTTTGCTTTTCTATATGCTGGCTTGCCAGTTTTGGGCAGAATGACAACTTTTGCTGTACTCTACACAAATGGCAGTGTTTCCCCTACCATTATACAAGCAGGTGCCCCACCCCATCAACAGAACTGAGCACCCCGCCTACCAAACCAAACTTGCCCCCCCCCCCCCCCTCCCAGCACTGACATAGCACTGAGTTAGCAGCACAAAATACAGGCTCTCTAGCTAAAAAGCTAAAGGTGCCTCTTCCTTCATGCTGAACGCCCCCCTGCCCCCACTCAAACACTGTTGGTACAAGCTGTGCTCAGACATGTCTCCGTCCCTCCCCATCAACAAAAATCATGGATGAGACGACCGCCCCGCCATGTCAAGTTAACTAGGGGAAACACTGAATGGTATGTAGTGTGCTTGCTAGACAAGCACATATTGTATAGTCTAGTTATTGTGCTTTTTCTGGACTATGCTAAGATTTTCCCTTAAAAATTCAATGTCTTCACCGGCCTATATGTACATGTATAACATCTATTTTTGTGCTATGCTGTGGTAGGTTTTTTTGATGCTTCAAATCATGCCCTGTCTAGAACACAGCGTGAGAGATCTTTTTTATACCATCTCTCCTCATGTTTTCTTCCCTTTTCTCATCTAAGCAAAATATTATTCTGAATAAGAATAAGAGGGCCGTGCTTTTATAGTAGCAGCTTCGTGCACTCCGCCCATTTTTCGGACGACTGTACGTACATGTTCTCGTATCTCGGTGCAATGATAATAAAGTTTTATTCTGATTCTGATTCTAGAATAATGTTTGTAGCTCTGCTTCAGTTGTCCTCTGTTGGATTCAGGGGATTAGCGACTGTGACAGGCTGGGAAGCCTCTTGTGCCCCAGGAAAATAAACCCAAAGTAGATACTAAAGCACACTTACAGTATTTGTATGAACGGCAATCCTTCTGGTAGGATAATATGGATGGTTGACTAGGTCCTTTCTGAGAAGCTTGTAAAGCTTAGAAGAAGCGCTAGGTTAAAGCTAGTGCTTTAACATCTTGACAAAACGTTGTCGAAGAAAGTCTCTTACACTCCCTTAGTACAGTTGTATAGTGACTGTACATACAGTGCCCACCTGATTTTTCTTAGATGGTATTTGTAGCTTCACCATTTACCTCACTGCACTGTGGCGGCCAGACAACTCTGGAGTCCACCAGACTGACTGCTTTGACAGCCTCCAGACTTTCTCCGGACGGGCATGCTTATCAAGGTCAAGGTTCTTTAATATCATTCGCATCACATGCGGTACATGTGGTGGAACAAAATTGTGTACACAGGGTCCCAGTTACATCCAACAAAAGTATAAATTTGATAAGAAAATCAGTAGCAAGATCCAAGATATGAACTAAGATATACGCTAAACTAAGAATACGCTAACACTTAATAGTGCAAAAACAATACACCGAGCAACAGCAGCACGAACATGAGTCTGTGTGAGCAGATGAGTATGAATGAGCACATGAAATAAGTATGGAAGAGGCCGATCCGGTATCTGTATTGACCTCCGATACCAGCATAATTTACGTACCAGAGATTTCCGATCCATGATGCATGTAGTCTTTAAACTATGGAATGGATTTCCTGAACAGAGGCATGTCTCATGAGCCCAGAGTAATAAGACCCGCCTCACATTCAGGAAATCCATTTCATAGTTTGCAGCCAGCTACAACGTGAGGACTGAGTTAGCAGCACTGTGGCTAACAGCTAACCAACTTTTCATCGTAACATGTCCGCTGTGTGGAAGTATTTTACACTAAAAACACCACAAAACAAGACAGCAACGTGCAATGTTTGCAGAGCCATAGCACCACATTAAACCACAGTAAAGTTAGTTTTACGTTGGATATTCGATCTCCGTGGCTTCAGCGGTCTGCACCTCTCGCTGAACCTGTAGCAGGCAGCCCGACCCCGGCCAGCTGTGCCCAATCTGCCCCGTTCAGTCTGCCCGTCTCGGAGGAGGGGCAGACTGAACGTGGCTGATCAAAATCAGACTGCCTGCTGTGGATTGAAAAAGAAGAAGACATTGCTGAAGCTACGGAGCTCGAATGTTTATCGAGAAGCTGCTAAACTTCATCGTAATTAATGACCAACCGCTATCAGTTGCAGAAAACAAAGGATTTCACAGCTTGATACTTGCAGCCAAGATATAGTTTACCCTCCAGGAGATATTTATCAGTACAACAGCAGACAATCATAAAAAATATATGATTTGAAAATTACAAGAAAATTATATATTAAAAAAAAACAACAAAAAAAAACAGCTACATTATAAAGTGACGTAAAATACTAAAAAACGTATGTGTTGGTTTATGCCACGAACTTAGCAGATGTTTAAAGCCATTTACTTTTTTTTATTATTTAATTAATTTATTCATTCATTTAAAAGAGACAAAATAAACAAAAAAATCATCAAAAAGAAAACATTGAATGAAAAGAGTGCAGAAAGAAGAAAACAATTCTTATATCTCCCCCTTATTAAAAAAAATAATAATAACTTTAAACAAACAATCACTTAAATCAATCACTTTAATATCCACTTTAAAACAGGAATAAATTAAAAAACATTTTGTGTTAGCAGAATTTAGTTCTAACTTTGAAACTTATCCAACATTAATAAAACTTACCTCAAGTTGCCTTTTTGGACATGCATGCATATATTTGTACAAATTGTACTTGAGAGGAGATTATTACAGCCTCATATAAAATCTATGATGATCATGATATCGGAACGGGATCGATATTGGACGATATCCAGATTTAGGGATCGGAATTTAACAAATGTGGATCGGTGCATCCCTAGAAATAAGTCAACAGCATGAGATCAGCAGCATGGATAGTCAGCAGCACATATCAACAGTCAAGTGGCATTACAGTGATTTTTTTTTCATAGCGATAATCCTGATTAGGTTAGGATTCATGAGTCTTAACAGCTTCAGGGGTAGAAATTGTTCCTCAGTCTAGTGGTTCTACACTTAATGCTCCTCAACCTTCTGCCTGAGTGGAGCGAGGCAAAAAGTGTGTGTGCTGGGTGAGTGAGGTCCTTCATGATGCAGGTGGCCCTCTTCCTGCATCTGGAGGTGTAGATGTCTGTGAGGGTGGGGAGGGTGGCAACTAATTGTTGCTCAGCAACAGTCATGCATATGACCTCTATCTCATTGTCTTTTTGACTCGGTGAGACTAACTTCAGGTCTCTCTTGTAAATGAGTCCTCGAGGCTCAATGGGATTTACCTGTATAAATAAAGGTTGATTGAACTTGTATAAATAAAGGTTGAGTGCATGTCTTGCATAATTTTAATCCTGGCAATTCTCCCACCATCAACTGTGAAAGGATGCTGATTAAACAGATTCCAGCCAGTATTTTAGGGGTTTATGTAAGTGACTGGGCATGGTTTCCCCATCCTCAGCTTAAATTGAATTTGTCAGCGGTCTGACAGTTTCCTCCAAGGACACCTCCCAGTGACATACTTTGTTTACCGTTAATAGACCAGACTATTATTTCAACAACCTCCCTATTAA